TTGTGGGTTTTAATCGTATTTGCAGTTGTGGGTTCTTTGTATGGACCAACTTGACACATAGTTTTAGAGGAATTAAGTTGATTTCTTTTAGTGGTTAAAGATTATAAGTGTTTGTTTGAAGTTCCAAATTCAACCTTTATTGAACTTTGGATGACGTTCAACCCTTGAAACAAATCAATCATTTATAAATGTTATATGTTAAAAATGTCATGTGTAATGCATATGATTAAAGTTTTAAAGAAACAGTGACCTTAAGTCTTTCTTTGTTCATTTTTTCAAACTTAACGATTTATATACACAATATAAAGGATAGTGTTGTTCGTCCAAAATATAAACATTAAGGTATTTTTCTCACTTTACCCTATATATATAATTTATACCCACTTATACAAGATTAAACAGACTCAAAAGAAAAAGTGAATTTAAGGGTAACTTTTAGCTAAAGGTGCTGTAATTGAAACCCATCACCACCACCGTTAAGCACCACTGTCACCATCCCCACAGCCGCCACCGCCACCAAGCACCACTGTCACCACTACCATCACCACCACAACCACAACCACTACTAAGGGCGAATCAGGAATTGTTCATGGGGTGGTGTGATACCCCTCGGATCCGAGACACGGGTTGATCAGGCCCAGGCCCAAACCCGAGGGATATCAATCAATCAATATGTTAAAACGAACACAGATGTCAAAAATGAGACAAGAATAAATACAGAAAGCTGGAAGAAACTAAAATAGAAATCCGCAATATAAAATCCTTAATGCATTTAAATCCAATAACTCCAATCAATCCATAAATTAAACAACTCGGGAATCCACCTCTAGTGGACCCCTAATACGGAAGTCTAAACTGAAATGAAAAACACTAGAAGAACGTCCAATAATAAACCATAGAGAACAAGTCCTACATCGTCGGAAGAATGGAAGACTGCCTCTGCTCTGCACGAACAACCTCAAGCCTGGAACTGACGAACACCTGAAAAATAGGAGTGGGTCAGGCCCACGAACTAATTCTAACCCACTGCAATCCGAGTAGAAACTCGATACGCATATACATCATAAGCAGTTCAGCAATAACTAATAGTCCTTATATACGTATAATCACACTATAGGACTCTCACTGGACTATAGAGGAGGTCTCAACCTGAATAGAAAGTAACATGCAAAAACGCACCCAAGGGTAGGCATGAGTACCTAGACCTAACAGGGTATACCTCAACCTCTCATATCCAGCTACACATCCTATTGCATATACGCTCCCTAACCAACGACTGTGAGACTCAAACTCAGATCGCAGTATCATAACTTATACTTAAATTCTGTCCTATCCACAGAAAGTTCAGTTAGCCATTCAGCTTGTGCAGCTTCTTTAACTTAACATAACTCACGAGCAATCCGAGTGGTCATTCAGCTTTTGCAGCTTCTTTGACTCAGTTATAAGTATGATTCATTTTAATATCCATTCCTTTATTCCGTATAGGTAGGACTTAGTATGATGCAACTAATCCAAACGTAAGCATGCCACTGTCCCATACCGGTGCATGTAATCCAACATCCACAATTGACTACACAGGTAATAAATATGATTATCTACTATATAGTCTATCCAACAATTATCCAACATCCACAGTTGACCATACACATATTAAATGTAATTATTAACAATACAGTATATCCAACCATCGACAGTCAGTTGTTCAATGTTAAATATCAACTACTTCACATTAATCATGTTTAAAACTTGGTTATTTAACAAGTCTATTCAACATTCCTCTACACAGTTTCATGATGGATAATACAGACCATGTATATAACCCTTAATTAAATCTCAGCAGGCATGACAGATTGGTTTTACACATACACATACTGACACATTCACATACTTAACCCATAATACTACACAGGTGATCCGGAGTGAAAACAGTTAATGTGAGCATACTTCTTTCTTCCATTATAAGTATGTAGTGCATTCTATACTCCTGCATACTCATAGTCCATCACAGAGCCATGATTATAGCCTAGCTCCATTCCCATACCCAACTGCTACACCTCAAGTGGTGAAGTTTAAATCCTAAGTCTCCAAAACAGTTTACTAGTTTGCTTAGAACCTTTATTTCATTACAAAGACAATACTGACTGATTGAATATGCATTACCAAGCCCTCTGAGACCTTAAATTAATCTCACTCATCAACCATAAGTCTCATTCATAGCCCCTGAACACCTCTGCCATGTCAAACCGCAGTCCAGAATTCATAAAATCTCAAAACTGGAGCAACCACAGGCAGAGCAGGCTCCCACCTAGTGGAGCCGCCTCTCATCATGGTAGAGCCGGCTCCTACCATGGTAGAGCCGGCTCCTAACCATGGGGAGCCAGCTCCAGCATCCTTTGGAGCCGCCTCCTCTTCCCCCTCTCCTCTGTTTGCTTGTTTCGTCCCCGTTTCACTGCACTAAGCTCGTCCCTCTCTGTGACCGCTTTCAACACTTTTATTTGTGATCAAACCTACCCAGAGAGAACCTATCTACATCCCTCATGCATTTGTTAACAGTAATGTAAAAGAGCAATCACACAGTTGGACACAAAAAACCAGTTTACAAGAAGTTGCAACACAAACTGATATAAGGAGATCTTAACATGCATACTCAATTAATTCCGTTTAATGATTTCCTGGAACTACTTATGCATGCAAAGAACACGAGTAAAAGGAAAGAGATGAAGTTAGAACTTGCCTTTAGCCTAAGTCTCCGTTGCCTTCCTATGGCAGACCTTGAAATCCTTAACCCTCTGTTTATGTGTTTACTGCAACTTGGGTTTACGTCTGTGAACTAAGTGTTGTGCTCCAAACCCTAGACATAGATTATCATTGTGTATTTATAACTTAAATCCCTGAACCCTAATCCTTATAAGATTACAGACAGAGCCCCCCTCGGCCCATAAAGCATCCTGTGATCAAACCCACGTCGGCTACCCCTACACAGTTTAATCCTAATGTAACTATATACCTAGAAAACTAAACAGACACGTTAATAATGAAATTTAATTAAATAAAGTCAAATGAAATAAAGGCAAATAAATAATTTAAAATAACTACAAACAAAATAATTCAAAATAAAACAAATAATTACAATTAGGCAAATAATACAATTAGGGCAAATAATACAATTAAGGCAAATAATACAATTAGTGCAACTAATACAAACAAGTTAAACAATTAACCATTACAAAATGTAAGTAAATAACCAAAGAAATATCCAGGACTATCCTTTAAAAATTAGGGGTATTACAGGTGGGCTAATATTTCTTTGGGTAGGCTAATAGTAGTACTATTTTTTTTTGCGGGGGGGGACTAAGGTATAGTGAAAAATAAAATAAAATAAAAATAAAAATAAATAAAATTGGGTGGGCTTCAACCAGTGACCATCACCACCAAGCACCGTCTCCTTTCTCTTTTTCATCTTCAAAATTTAAACCCATCTCCTCAGCTAGTGATTGCATGTTGATTAGGCCTTTTGATCCGGGCATGCTGTCGTACGTCACCAAATTGGAGAAGATCGAGTTGGACAGCAGAAGAGGCAACACCACCGAAGGAGCTCACGTGACTCTACGACTCCATCTTGAAGCAGTTCAACTGCGACTAGAATAGGATCATTGATCTCTCAACAAGTTCAGGCCGAAGATGAAGAAAATCATGTTCGTCTCCTGATGGGCTTAGGTCGTGGGTGCAATATCTGAAGCCTCACAATTGTCACTACAACAAAACAAGCTTTTTACCTTCGAAAATTTTCGTAGCAAAAGGTCATTTGTGAAGAAAGTATTTCATGGCATGGGTCGTAGCAATATCTAGCATCAGGATAGTATATATGATGCTATGAAAATATATTTTCCCTGGCAAAGAACCATTTATTTACTACAAAAAAAAAATTCATCAATAATACATGAGGACACCAAAAGTGACTTGGGCTTGGGTTGGTCCAAATTTCTAAGAACGGGTAGGATGGGGGCGACCAAAGTGGAGTTAGTCCTCATTCCATGGGCCCAGGACCAGGAGGTCAGTAAGAAAGCCCACTTTGAGGTAAAGGGAGTTGGGCCCAAATGAAAGGAAAGAAGGTAGGTCCAGCCCATGAGAAGGAAGTCAAGTAATGAGCTGCGTGAATGGTTGTAACCGTCTATAAATAGACGGAAATGAGAGAGAAAATGGGTTGGAAAAATTCCTTAAAGAGCATTGTTTCTCTCTCTTGATTGGGGGAAAATTCTCTGCATCTTCAATGGCGCCGTCCGTGGGAAGCGATGAAGAACGAAGGATTGATTGATGCTTGATTCAAATCGATCCAATCCAGAGTAATTTGAGAAGAAGATGATTGATCTCTGAAGAGAAAAAGCAAGGACGAGGAGATTGTGATCTGTCTTGCTGAATCTCGGTTCTAGTTGATTTTGAGAAGTTGGCGTCAGATCTAAGCAATTCAGATCGATGTTCGTTCTGGTGAACTACGCAGCAGAAAGTTGTTGAGATCGCTGTGGATCTAGCGACCTTGTTGCTGAAGCAATTCAGATCCCGCCGATAACAGTCGGAATTCAACTAGTTGAAGTCCAGATCTGGTGCATTTGCATTAGCACAGTTCAGATCTGATCTTAGATCTGCGGTTAATGACTTTACTCCGGTTGGGAATGATGATCGGAGGAAAGAGCTCGAATCCATTGGAGAATGGCCAGCAGTCGAAGCTCGACGAGTTGATGAGCATGATCGAAGCCTTGAGAAGAAAGAACGCAGAATTACGAGCTGGAATGGAGCAGTGAGATGCTCCTGCTATTCCAAGGCCACATCAGGTAGGAGAGGGAGTCCAGCCGTTCAACGTTATTCATCAAAGTGATCTAGAAGGAAACAATCGCGTGGATCCTCATCGCGAAGGAATTTTGGCAGGCGATCTACCTCCAAATGTCCGCTAGATAGAGGATCGAGAGGGATCAATTCATTTGGATCCACATCGCGAACAGATCATGCTAGAGGAGGCGCCAGCGTTTGATTCAAATCAGGGACAATATAGGCGCGATAAGCCTCCGGAGTTTGGTCATCACAAGATCGCATCACCGTGGAAGAATGAGTTTGCAGGGTACAGATCGTCCGATCCACCCTATCAGCCTTCAATGGCAACGATTGATTACAAGAGTTCAGAGAGGAAATCTACAGATGACAGGATTCCATCACAGTTCTCAAGGGAGAATGAAGCACTCCGTTCATTGGCCAAAACAGTTGCATCTCCGTTCACTGACGAAATCCTGAACGCGCCAAATCCGAGGAAATTCTCCATGTCGGTCTTCATTCTGTTTGATGGAACAACCGACCAAATAGATCACATCTACCACATTCAGTTGAAAATGGCTCTGAACACAAACAATGATCCTTTGATGTGCAAGTGCTTCCCTACCAGTTTGGCTGGACCAGCCCTCAACTAGTTCAAGAACCTAGCCCAAGGTTCAATTGCAAGTTTCCAAGACTTATGCGACAAGTTCACAAGCCAGTACTATGGAAATAAACGCCTGGCCAAGGACGTTTCGAGCCTCTTTACAATGAAACAACATGAAGACGAATGACTCCAAGCTTTCCTCACCAGGTTCAACCTTGTCAAAAGCATGGTAATGGAGTGCCATCCATCCACAGCAGTTCAGGCGTTCAAACTTGCGATGAACCGAGGGACACCGTTTCACACAAGCTTGGTAGTGAATACGCCAAAGACTATGGATGAGTTGAACGAGGGAGCTGACGGCTTTGTGCATCTGGAAGAAGAAGAGGTAGCAAACACAAGAAAGACATCGATTATCTCAACAGAGGAGAAGTCTAAAGCCAAGATCCGGCAAAAGCAAGCTCAGCCACAACGACAGACCTCCTGGAAGGCCGAGAAAAGGCCCAGGGAGGAAGAGGTAGTCACTCTACTCAGAGTCACTCTGGTAAGGCTATATTAGGAGAACAAAGATAAGTTTCACTCTCCTTTACCAATCAGGCAACCTCTTGAATAGAGGGATCAATCTAAACATTGTGCTTTCCATAGTGATTTTGGTCATCAGACTAACGAATACAAGAACCTAAGGAGGCAGGTGGAGATGCTGATCGCAAGGAGGGAATTTGTAGGGTATGTTCAAGGGCCGGCGCAGAAGCAAAACCGACTGGCTGATCAAGTCAAGAGAACTCAGAAGCAGAATAACCATAACACTCAGCTCGTTCGGATCATAAACGTAATTAATGGCAGACCTGAACAGACAACAGAGTCGAAAGAGCTGCTCAGAACGCGATTACGCCAAACACAAATGAAGAGGAGAATTGGCAGTGTGCATACCTTGCATCAGCAGAACGCATCCGCATAGATAAAGTTTGACAGAACGGACCTGCTGCTTGTTCAGACCCCTCACGAAGATCCACTGGTTATTAGTTTGACTGTAGCAGAATGCCTGGTACGAAGAGTTCTGATTGATCCAGGAAGCAGTGCGAATATCATGCCCAGAGTAACATTTGATAGGTTGGAAGTCAAGCCGGAAAAGCTAAAACCCACAGGAAATCCGTTGCTGGGATTCGATGGGAAATTGGTGGACCTCATTGGCATGGTAGAGCTGACCGTGCAAGCCGCTGAAAGAGTATTGACAGAGATATTTGTAGTCGTTGAAATCCATCCCTCCTACAACCTTCTGATGGGGAGGCGGTGGATCCACAGAGTCCAGGGTGTACCATCAACTCTGCATCAAGTGATAAGGTGTTTAGGCCCAGATGGGAACAAAGTAATCGACATTCATGGAGATCAAGTCGCGGCCAAGGAATTCTATACTGTAACTCTTAAGTCTGCTGGAAAAGGAAAAGCACCCATCCGCTCAGCTAACCCCAAATAGCAATTACAGGATCCTCCACCCAGCAACCATGGGGAAGAGAAGACTTCGGCCTTGACTGAAGAACCTCTCGCTGATGTATAGATCGACCATGAGAAGCCAGACCGAACCACAAGAATGGGATCAAGACTTGCTGAAAAGGAGAAGCAAGGGCTGGTTGGTTTCCTATCTCAGAATGCAGATGTATTCGCATGGAGCCATTCAGACATGCCAGGAATCAATCCTGTTGTTTCTTATCACTCTCTCAACGTAGATCCAAATGCAAGGCCTGTAAAGCAGAAGTAGAAAAGTTTCACTCTAGAGCGTAATCAAATTATTGCTGAAGAGATTGATTGGTTGTTTGACGCAGGGTTCATAAGAGACGTCCAATACTCAATTTGGCTTTCGAATGTCGTTGTGGTACAAAAAAAGAATAGGAAATGGAGAGTGTGCATTGACTTCACCAATCTGAACAAAGCTTACCCAAAGGATAACTTCCCGTTGCCAAAGATTGACCAGATGGTGGATGCCACTACTGGATATGAACGGTTAACATTCCTGGATATTTACTCCGGTTACAATCAAATCCCCATGGACCCATTGATGAAGAGAAAACTTCTTTTGTCACTGAGCGAGGAACTTACTGCTACAAGGTCATGCCGTTCGGTTTAAAGAATGCTGGAGCTACTTATCAGAAACTGATCAGCAAGATTTTCAAAAATCAGATGGGGAAGACTGTAGAGGCGTACATCGATGACATGGTGGTAAAGAGCAAGAAGAAGGAAGATCACCTGGAACACCTGCAAGACGTGCTTAGCGTGCTAAGGAGGTATGGAATGAGGCTTAACCCAACCAAATGTTCATTTGGAGTGAGCTCTGGCCAATTTTTGGGACACGTGGTCCACTAGAGAGGTATTGAAACTAGCCCAGCTCAGGCAGGAGCTCTGATCAGCAATGCAGAACTAATAACGGTCAGTGAAGTGCAAGCACTTATAGGAAGAATAGCCGCACTAAGTCGGTTTATTTCTAAGTTGTCAGACCGCTGTAAGCCATTTTTTGATACAATTCGAGGCCATGGAAAACAGGCTTGGGGTGACGAACAGAGATAGGCACTGACCAACTTGAAGGTGTATATACAAACCCCTCCAATCTTATCTGCCCCTGAGCCAAGTGAAAGGCTTTTTATGTACCTTGGTGTATCCAGCATAGCTATGAGTGCCGTTCTGATTCGCTGTAAGGAAGGGAAGCAGTTCCCTTTATTTTATGTCAGCAAAACAATGGCTGAGCCAGAAAATAGATACTCAAAGACTTAACGAGTGATCCTAGCGTTAGTAAATGCAAAAAGGAAACTTAGGCATTACTTTAAATCCCATCCTATTATCGTTCTGACCACCTTCCCTATAAGGACGATCCTGTACAAGCCAGATCTGTCGGGAAGAATGACAAAGTGGGCCATGGAACTGAGCTCGTTCAACATAACTTATGAACCCAGAACAGCCATCAAAGGACAGGCAGTGGCTGATTTCCTACTAGAATGTGATGTTGAGGACTTGGGGGAAGATCGTGAAGACTCCTCATGGAAACTTTTCGTCGATGGCTCATCAAATCAGATGAATGCAGGAATTAGGATCAAACTCCAAACACCAGAGGGTACCACACTAAACCAAGCCATCAGACTTAAGTTCAGCGCAACCAATAATGAGGCTGAGTATGAAGCATTGTTGGCTGGACTAAAGTTAGCAAAGGAATTGAAGGTTAAAAGTTTAGTTGCTTTCAACGATTCGCAGCTAATAATCCAGCAGGTAACTGGCGAGTATGGAACCAAAGATAAACCAATGGAAACTTACCGTTCTACTATTTTGCATGAAGCGAAGGACTTGGATCAGATCAAGTTCATCCAATTAACGAGAAAAGATAATGAGATACTGACCGATTGGCCTGTAGTGCGTCTGGTTCTGGGGAAACGTTAGCCAGAGTTATCCCGGTTGATGTGTTGAACCAGCCGTCCATCCTTGCTGAACTGTCCAATTCAGACCCTCGGCAGGTTAACGTTATACCATACGAGCCGAGTTGGATTGATCCAATCTTGACTTACATACGAGATGGTGTGCTGCCAGAGCAGAAAGACGAGGCAAGGAAAATTAGGTCAAAAGCGGCGAAGTATGCCATTCTGCAAAATCAGCTATACAAACGGTCTTTTTTGGGTCTATACTTAAAATGTGTCATAGAGGCTAGGTAGATCTTGCGAACCATCCATGAGGGTGTATGTGGCAATCACTTAGGGGGAAGATCTCTAGCGTATAAAGCGATGACTCAGGGATATTTTTGGCCAAACATGTCACGGGATGCAAAGGAATTCTCTAGACGATGTGATAAATGCCAGAGATTCAGACCATTGATCCACCAACCACCTGAAGACTTGCACGTAATGGCCACGCCATGGCCTTTCGCGCAATGGGAGATGAATGTGGTTGGCCCTTTGCCGACCATTAGATCGCAGAACAAGTACATTCTGCTTGCCACAGATTACTTTACTAAATGGGTGGAGGTAGAGCCGTATCCAAGTGTGACCCAAACTCAGGTGAGACGCTTTACCTAGAGCAATATCATTTGTCGTTTTGGCATTCCAAGGTTGATTGTTATGGACAATGGGACTAATCTCGATAACAAGCATGTGAAAGATCTACTGGAAGAGTATGGAATCAATCAAAAGTTGGCAGCGGTTAACCGTCCACAGGCAAATGGACAGGCTGAGATCACGAACAGAACGATCTTTACCTGCATCAAGAAGAAGCTTGAAGATGAGAAAGGAAAATGGTTAGATGAGCTTCCGAACGTCTTGTGGGCCTACAGAATGACCCCTAGACGGCCGACCGGGGAAAGCCCATTCGCCATGGCGTACGGCACTGAGGCTGTAATACCAGTCGAGCACTTAGTTCTAACTGTTAGGAGTTTAGCCTGGAATCAAGAGCATAACGATAGCATGCTGAGGTTTAATCTTGATCTGCTGGAAGAGAAAAGGGACATGGCCGCAATAAGGCTTGCATCTTATCAGCAGACACTCATGAATAGCCATAGCAAAAGGGTGAAACATAGAGATTTTGCCCTTGGCGATCTGGTTCTGAAAAAGAAGGTGGGAATAGTCAAAAAGATGTTTTCGCCATGGGAAGGTCCATACAGAGTTGCGGAAGTCCTATGAAAGGGGGCATACATTCTGGAGACTATGGCAGGAAGGCTGGTTAGTAAACCATTGAATGCCACATCTTTAAAAAGGTACTATCAGTTGAAGTAGCATTTAATTCTGAACAATGCTCATTCTGACTTGCATTCGCAAGTGTACAAAATTTTCAAAAGTTATGAAAGATTTATGAAAGAAGTTTATTTTACCTAAAAGTTTGATCAACGTTCTTTCTGATGAGCAAAAATGAATCTACGCCGAGTGGCGAGTGGCAAATGGCATTCTAGCCGAGAGCCAGGCACTTAGCAAATTGAGTGGCAACTGGCACTACAGGCCGAACGCCAAACACTTGCTCAAAAATGAGCATATGCCGAGTGGTAAGTGGTAGTCTAGCCGAGCGCCAGGCACTTAACAAATTAAGTGATAGCTGGCACTACAGGCCGAACGCCAAACACATGCTCAAAAATGAGCATATGCCGAGTGGCAAGTGGCATTCTAGCTGAGCACCAGGCACTTAACACATTGAGTGGCAACTAGCACTATTGGCCGAACGCCAAACACTTGCTCAAAAATGAGCATATGCCGAGTGGCAAGTGGCATTCTAGCCAACCACCAGGCACTTAGCAAATTGAGTGGCAGCTGGCACTAAAGGCCAAATGCCAAACACTTGCTCAAAAATGAACATATGCCGAGTGGCAAGTGGCGTTCTAGCTGAGCGCCAGGCACTTCTAAGTGGCAGCTGGCACTACAAGCTGAACGCCAAACACTTGAGGAAATTGAAATGTGAGAATTGAAAATTGAAATTAAAGAAGAGAAATCAAGAAAAGTCAAAGAATGAAAGTTCTGCCAAAAATAGGTATTGTCATTCACTTTTCATTCATTACAAAAAGATCTTAAGATATATGAATTGATGTTCTGAAAGTACATGGAGGTACATTTTAAAAAAAAAAAATACTGCCGCAGAGGATTGGAAAGTATCAATTAAAATTACAGAATGTCAGTCAGCATGTTCTCCTCCAAGCTCAGCTTCATTGTTCCCTCCATCATTGTCCTCTGGACCATTACGATCCTCTCCATCGATAGTTGCACCATCATCCTTAGAGGGGGAGTCAAGATAAATCACCCCCTCAGCTGGCGTGAGTCTATCAGAGGTAACTAACGAGGAGGGGATAATAATGGTGATAAGAGAGACGTTCAGTGGCAGGAAGGGTGGTATAACCCCTGAGGCTGCAACCTCTCTGAATTCAATGAAGATGTTCTCAACAGGGTCGCAGGGCGGATTCTGGTAGTTGCTTGGTGGATGGATGTCCAAGGAAGCATCAAGTTCATCCACACCAGAACAAGAGCTGGACTCACCCCTCAGGGGGAGAACGGTGAATGAAGCCGTCTCTATACCCTTCAGCAAACCTGAGAGCACTGGTTCTGGTGAAATGGGTAAGAAGAGCTCTCATGCCACCCTCAACTCTGCCAATCATACTCAGCAGAGAAAAACGGTCATTCAGAAGCTTTTCCTTCGAATTTGCATGGGTCAACCGTTCAGCAATGATTGTACGCTGAAGGTCACCCTTCTCAGTCTCCAGCAAATCCCTTTCAGTTAGGGCAACACTTTTTTCAGTCTTCAGGGCATCAACCTCATCTTGAAGTGAGTCCCGATCAGCCTTAAGGGCCTCCAGCTCAGCTTTCAGGGCATCTCTCTCTCTTATCATAGCATCCTTCTCAGTTTTCAAGGTGGTAGTTTCCTTCTCTGACTCACTCAGCTTGGACACATGCTCAGTGTTTTTAGCCTCAAGCCAGTTCTCTACTTCAATTGATCTTTTAAGGGCAGCAGAGAGAGACTTGAGTTTCT